GCCACCAGAAGCCTGAACCTGACTTTTGACGTGCAGGATGGCTCTGCAGATGACTGATGTTCATGTGCTGAACACACGTGACAATGACCCAACTCTGGCCAAACCAGTCGCAGGTTAAACCCCTGGCACTCAGCGATGGCAGAGTCTAATTCCTGAACCCAGTACTTAAAAGCTCCTCTGGGACCACATGACTCAGTATACACCCTGAGTGGCTATCAGCCAACACAGACAACTCCATAAATTTGCTTTTATTAAATTATCTGGTTGTCTGTGGAGGTCAAAAGTAGGCCTGAGAAAAAGTTTAGTAAGTTCATTGCACTTAGAGATCTCAGCTCTGTGCCTCTACCAGGCTGTGAAGTAATCCCACAGAAAGCCCTTGAGCTAAACTTGGCTATTTCATTCTCAGGGTGAAAGAAAGGGGTGGAGGGGACAAAAAAACTTAGTAAGACAAGAATGTCATTGATGCTTTATTTACATGCGTCACCATCTCTTACAAACTAGATTACCGTTAAATGGAATACACAAGGCAGTATCTACAAACACCAAGCAAAGTAAGTACTGTATCTTCACTTCATTTGGAAAGGGGAAGATTCCCAAATCAAACTGGTTTTGATCCTCAAGAAGAAAGGTGAAAGAGTTTATTCACGTCAACATATGATTAGACAAAATCCAAGGTAAGTATGAAGTATGATAGTGTTCACTTCAACAGAAAGGATGAGGTGCTTCAAACCAAAGGGTGAACTGTTGAATTCTTAGGTGTTTGAATATGGCCACACACCATATTTAATTCTAGTTTGTATGGGTGGGTTGTGAGCAAGAAATTGGAACAGATAAGACAGTTTTACAGATACTGTATACAGTTTTCATTCATGCAACTTTTTTTCTTAAAAAAAAAAGTTAAACATGTGAAGCCAAAATACACAGTACAATTTTTTTTAGAACTAATTTTTCTGGTCCTCTTTCAAATCTGTTTACATTTCCCATGGATAACATGTGCTAGGTCAAGTATACAAGAGATTGCCAGGCAATGAGATAATTTTAGAGAAATAAGTGACAAGACACACAGCTTTTAAAAAGCAGTTGCACAACTATTTCTGGAGTGTGGTAGAGGCTTCATAATCATTCTTCAAAGAAACATACAAACAAAAAATAAACAAGAGGAAAATATTCAGCTTGCATAAAATGTTACCTAGAGATTTACATCAAACGAGACATCCTCTCTTTAGCTGCCTGGGCTTCTGCTATCAGGTCATGTTTGACAGGCATGATTCTGTAAGAACTTATTCTCCTCTGGTACCGCCTCCACAAGGCTCCAGGAGGGGCTGGCTTTTTTGTACCTCTTTACTAGTGATTGCATTTCTACAAAAAGTTTTGCTTCTCTTAATTAAGAAAACATTATGCTGAACCATATGATGCTACCCAAATATATCAAGAAAAAGAAAAATATCAGAGTTCAGAGCTGTCAAGGGTTTTCTTTCTGCTTTGGGCTCACTCACATTTCCCCTCGTCAGCCCTTGGCACCAGCAAGTGGATCACAGTATTTTTTTATTTAACTACTCTTGATGGACTCTTCCAAGAGATTCAAATGTTCCTTATTCTTTAAGTTGATTATATATTCATCACATAAGTGCAAAGTCTGTCCCTACAATCCTTAAGCTGTGCACGTTTGGAAGCCACCTGAAGTCACACCCTGAGATGGGGCATACCTGACCTGAGTAGTGAGCCATGATGTCCTCTCTTCAGGGTGAGGAAGTAACACACAGATGCTAAAAACCAACACCAAAACCAAAATCCACTTTGTACTATACGTGTGTGTGTGTGTGTGTGATCCTCCCATTATCGGGAGAGTCAGACTTTTGAAAACAAGTTTTAAAGTGTACTTCAGCATTCATTATGCTGCAGAGGATGCGATAAAAGAAACCAGATGCATTCACAGTTAATGGAGTACACTGAACCCAGTGGCCACTCTTCACACCAGGACAGCGAAGGCTTGATAAAGCTCTTTTCTAGCTTTGGTACAGGTATCAGGCTCTGGAGCCTGAAGAGTCACGGAGCCCCAGGAGTGCATGTGTCACATTTTCAACAGTAGGCCTCCCCTTCCTAACTTCCATCACCATGCAGGCAGCTCCCTGGGGCAGCTTGCTAAGAGGCTGAGGGCAGCTCCCATGGTTCTTATTGCAACTGAAACATTAGTGCTGATGGCTGGAGGCTGCTAAGTAATCCACTGAGATGCTCCAGTTCAGAGCATTTATTATTAGGGACACAAGACATTCAGGGGGCAACCTATTAGCCACCAGTTGACCTGTCCAAAAAGCAGGGTGCCAGATTAAGGAACAGAGGCCTCAGGCTGCACTTCTGCCCAGTCTGCCACCTTAGAACCTGGCTTGTCTAAGCGAAGCCGGTCTCTCTAGTGTGAGCAGCCAGGGCAATCGTGCAGGGATTCCAAACAGGCCTTGCTATTTGAGTCCTGCCCGACCTTCTCCCGGGCTTGGAAGATGCTGCACCTGATGTGGCTCTGGTCTCAGATCTCCAGAACACTCATATGTAGGTGCTGTCTGAATAGTTTTTAAAAGAAAAAAAATCAAAGCATCCCCCTTTCATTTTCTCAATCTCTTCTGTGGCTGCCCTCTCCTCCTACCGCTCGGTCTCTCCTTCAGCTGTTTCAGATTAAATTATAACATGATTCTAGGACATTTTGTAAGACAGTGTGCCTGAAATTCAACAAACACTGGAAAAAAAGAAAATAAAGGGGATGTCACGTTTCTGAAAGGAAGTCAACATTTTAAAGCTGGAATACACTGGAAGGCTGCCTTTCTTGTTACCAAAGCAGCTCTGGCCAGGGTCTATAAAACTGCATAGGCAAGTAACTAGTTTGAGAGTCAGTCTGCTTGTTTCTCTGAACTCAGAAGAGAACTCTCAGGGACCTTACACTGGAAGCACTTGGGATTCTCCCTGTCTCTGACAACTTTCCACCCCTGATTCCTCTTCCCCCAAGCTGCCTCTGCGATACATGTCCACCCAGGCAGCATCACTCAGGAAGTCAGAGAAGTAGCCCTCTTGTTGATTTTGGACAGTTCTCGAACCCAGGAGACTACTGAAGAATCAAGGAAGTGGCTAGCATTATTATAAAGGAATATATATAGTAAGCAAGTGTGCTCACTGACAAGCAGACCACATGAATACATATTTTAAAAAATCATACATACTTTTAAAATGAAGATTATAAATGTATAGCACATTAGAAAAGGTGATATGCGATTGGTCTACAATAACCACAATTGCACAACAATTTACAGATTCAGTAAAAGGCAGGGTGAAATCAACAGGGCCTCACTCAGACGTCACAATCCAAGCAAGGCAGGAGAGATGTCTGACAATACCAGATGGAACTCTCATAATGGAAGGAGCTGTGATCACCACCAATATCACCCCCAAAGGAGTTATAAAGAAAAGGTGCACAAGGGGACCCTTGGCAGCCAGTGGGGGTGCAGGGGATCAGGTGGCACGTCTGTGTTGGTGTCCACTGCCACAGTGAAAGCATCAGCAGGATCAAGCAGGGAAGTCTGTGCTGAAACACTAGCCTATTTTCCTAATGCCCATGCACAAGGTTCCATTTTTGTACTGTACATGATATACATTTATATGCCTAATACTTTTTATGCAAAGAAGAGTCTTCATATATCACTTTGGAGACATATGTATATGCTGTGCTAATTAGAGCGGCATCACACCAGTTTTGTATGTACCAATGGTGTTCCCAACTATTCAGTCTATCAAAGAGGGTAACAAATACAATCACACTTCCCAAGTTAAACAGAAAGCACCTATACAGCACCATAACGTTTTGAAAACAAAACAAAATGAAATCCACAGAAGCAGAAAGTAAAAAAAAAAAAGGAAAAAATGAAAGGTTAAAACTGCCCTATCCTGTACTTTGTGTCACTTGTACAATTGTAATTTAGGCTTACATAAAAAAAAATCAGTTTGTATGTTATTGCCATTCACTCATGTCCTTCTAGAAAATCAGATTGTACACAGCAAGGCTGAAAATAATCAAGGATGTGTACTTCAAAACAGAGAAGTTAGACCTGCCTCAGCATTGCCTTGGTTTGTCCTATTCACATATCTCGCTGCAAGCTTAATGCTCACTTCTAAGTTCTTCCGTAAAGCAAAACAGGACACTTTTTTTTTTCCTTTTTCTTTTCTCATTAAAAATAAATCCTTAGTGGCATTTGGCAATTGAGTGGATAGCTGATTTTTTTTCTGAAAAGATCCTAGTTTCTACCCAACAGGCCAACACTGTCCACTACGTCAGCTGAGGGTACTGCAGAAGAGCACAGCCCTGCTGACCTGGCCACTGCAGTGCAGGCACTGGGGCCTCCTCCTCAGACGGCCCTGACCCAGAACTGGGAACACACTGGGCCGGATGCTGTGCTCCACTTGTTTTGCCTATGTGTGGTTCAGTCCCGCATAGGTGCACATAGCAAACAATTGTGCCATTGTTCAGTTTTTAGAAAAGATAACTTTCCACCAAACAAAACAAAGAAAAATCCCCCTATAGTTTATGTAATATGTTAGTTATGGAGTCACGTGGGCTCAAAAGCGCGTGATGCCCACAGCCAGAATGGTAACAAGTAAATTTACCAGGCGAAGGATGGTTAACATTTTAACAGAAAAATACTGAAAGTTAATGCATGTGAAAAAGTCAGAGGGTCAAAGGAAAACAAACAGAAAAACAACATTTAAACATCCCACAAACCATTGCGATATTCAACCACAGAATCGGCAATGGGGGCTCCCGATGTGCTCTGAATGAGTGGGCGGTGCTGTCGGGGTGCTGTCTTCCGCTGGCAGGTGGGTCACCGCCCCGGATGAGGAAGATTTTGCATACTTTATAAAGTTCTGTTCCAAGGGTAAGTGCTTCACCCAGGGTAAAGGGCCATTAACAGTCTCTGCTGGGTTAGGAAAATGGCGCGGGATTCACAAAGGTGTTAAGCTGTAAACGGTATCAATGTCCACTTGCTGAGAGCAGATTTGGCAAAGGGTTTTCTCTGTAGGTCTTGTGTCAGTTTGAGGGTCTAAAAAAGGAGAAAAGAAAAACTGAGATGGTGAAGGGCTTCAAAAAGCAATGGGCCCTCTGTTCCTCATCCCACCTTAGAGCCCAAGGAGTATAGCTGTTTTGCTACTGCATTTCAAAGGGCCCCAAATCTAAGGACAGGGCACACCTATTACCTACCTTATTTCTTACTGTGTCATTACTACAGATGCTCTCAAGTTGAAAAGCCCAAAGAAATGGGATCACTGTTTTTCAAGAAGTTAACAAAGAAAGGCATTTTGGGGGTGTTTAGTGGGTCCTGTTAAGGTAGGGACCCAGGGTGCAGATGGGTTTTTCTGGACTGAAGCATTTGCTGGGACAAGGGACTTCTGTGTTAAAATCAGGCAAAACAGGCCAGGCATGGTGGCACACGCCTGTAATCCCAGCACTCAGGGGCTGAGGCAGCAGGACTGCTATGAGTTCAAGACCAGCCTGGGCTACGTAGGTCAGTCTCAACTAGATAGTGAGACCCTGTCTCAAAAAAAAAAAAAAATCAGGCAAAACAGCTCTTCTTCTCTGGTTCTCCCCCACTGGTCAGGCAGACTAACTGAACTTCTTTGACACCCTGTTAGTACCTGGACACCGGGGGAGCAGACATGGCCCCTTTCCACAAATATTTAGTAAGAGTGAACTTCAGGGTGCGAGTAATCTTGACTTCCCCACACTAAGAGAAACAAGCCTTCTCTAAGTGGGCTATCTTAGGGATGTGATTTTATATTAAAAATCTTTAGAGAAAAAAAATTACATAACACACTTAGAGCCAAATCTCCCAAAACGTCTTTTTAACAACTAACAACATTTATGTTATCGTCACCAGTTTTCAAAGAAAAGGCACAACAGATGGCCTCCGAGAGCGTCACATTTGGACAAGTCTTACCCGATTTCAGTGTGGCCACGGAACCCAAAAAGTTAAGAGGATTAACAGAAAAAGTGTATTCAGAGAGATGCAGGTAAAGGAACTGACAAGACAGGCCTCAAGATGTAAGATCTTTTGTTTACAGTGTCAGCTGTCAAGGCAGTAAAAAAATGGCTCTAGGCCAAGACATGGATAGAAAACTGGCAGTAAAGCACCAAGAACTCAAGATCTTCTCACCAAAAGGACCACAGAATGAAAATTACATCAATAAACTCACACACACACACACACACACACACACACACGTTATTTACATCTGCCTTTTGCTCGTCTAACGTGAAAATTCAGAATTTCTGTAAGTCCCCTTGTGGCTTCAGTCTCATCTATGACTCTATCCTTGCTGACAATCTTACCTTTTGCCACGGACATCTGCAAAGACAACAGGACTCAGTACGCAAAACATCACAGACCCCTGGGCCTGTTTTCCTTTGCTATAGCTCTGAAGAGAAGTGAGCTTGTTTTTACTGGAGGCAGACACAATCAAGCAGGAAAAATAAGGCCCTCTTCCCATTAGTTGTTAATGTTTAGTTTCCCTGACTGGGCTTTTTGGAGGTATTCTCTGCTTCAAGAAGTGACTAGACAATATTATCTTGGACCGTATATTAATTTCAGAGGGACAAAAGGCCTGAATAAATCCCAGATCTGTCTGTGAGGAATCTGGCCTGCTTGACCTGGTGCTATTATAAGTATTTCACTGGGACCCTGAAGCATTATTGGACAGGGGCTCCCAGACACAGTACTGTGAAGGGAATTCTTTTTTCCTTCACAATAACATTTAATAAATCACAATCTAACATCACTATGCAATTAGTCATCAAGGGACTATGGTCCCCAAGTCCCAGTCCTGACTTTCTGTAAGTATCAAGGGAAAAGCAGCAAGGTATTACCTAATTCAGACTGCCTCCCTGTTTCCCTTTGGTGTTAATTATTGTGCCATGGAAACCAGTGCAGAGTAGGAAGGTGACACACTTCATTCCCCCAAGTACAGAGGTAGAACGTGCAGTTTGCTCCGTGGTCGTGGCTGGGCCAGCATGGGAGGGACGGAGTTGGAGGGCACCTAGGCACTCTGACATGGCATCATTCCAGGCAGCACAGACATCAGCTCTAAATCCAGGCTAGGGGGCCCTCCCAGGGCACTCTAACACAGCATCAACAACCCATTCCCTCAGCAAAAGGCCCATCTGGCAGTATCATCAAGGAGGAGATACATTAACACCACTTCCTCTCTGCAGAATGGAGTGGGGCCTGTGATGCCCCGCCCTGAAGCTTCCTCCAAGGTCTCAGGCAATGCCCTCCCAGGGAGGCCTGCACAGGAAGCCATCTCTGTGCCCATGCCATAAGTCAGTGGAGCCAGGCCAAGGGACAGAGGCAGTTCCTCCAGAGGGCACACTTAATATAGAATCTCACTCCACACAACTGAAAGGCACTGATGTTGGGTTGTGTGTGTGCGTTAGAAGGAAACAGATGTAAAATACTATGAAAACAAAATAATCAGATACAATACATCTTGAATAGGAAAACAATCATCCCACTAAACGGAACACCAGGGCCACCACTTACAATAAAGATCAAATAATGCAAACATTCCTACGGAAAGCAGCAACTCATCTGCCTCGGACTTCTGAAGGCTCTTCTGCAGTCCAGTCTGCACATGTTTATCTGACTCAAGGCAAAGACCGAGAGAGTGGAGCACATGTTCAGTGATAAAACCAACTACAGAGCTGGGAATCTGTTGATACTTAGTTTGGGTGCGATCCATGGTTTTTAAGGAAGCCCATGTCGTTCTCATATGGGTTCAAGTATGGCTTTTTAGCCAACTATGAGGCTTGTGTGTGTTGATACCCTTCTAGTTTAAAAAACAGATTAAGCAAAACCTTTGGAAGGAAAAGGAAGCAGCTAGCTAAAAGAATTACCGCTGTTACCCTACAGTTACTAGGCAATATACCAATTAACAATAAATATGAAAATATCCCTGTCTCTTCAGTGACTTTAAAATGCTCCCTTCCCCTCTCCCTGCTCAATAAATAAGTTTGAAATAAGGCTGTTGATGGAAGGAAAATGAAACAGAGAAACTAAATGAATGATGAGACCCATTCTAAAAATATCTGTGGATGCTGTCATCCGGTCTCTGGTGAGAGTCGGGCCCTCTGTAATACTGGCATCTGCAGGGAAGACAAGCTTCTGCCTAATTATCACCATTAAGTCACATGATGTGCTAAGGAAGGGAAACGCCTCCAAAACCACACAACATAACAACCCCAATCAACTTAAATCTGGAAATGGAACATAACTGTCCCCACTGCTGTCCCCCACAACTTAATTCCACTGTGAAAAATGTGCATTTGTCAGTCGGGTTATCTTCTCAGCAGAGAAAGAAGGAATAGGACCCCACTACTAAACATGACAGGGACCATTTTCATCTCCAGAATTAAGGATTATTTTAATGTTACATCATTGCCTTTTCTCTTTTACTTTCCTTTTTAGTTTTATTTTAGGATTCCCTATTTTTAATGTTCATACAGAGACTTCTTTAACTGAAATATTGAATAGTTTCTCTGGTGTAAAAAACTATAATAGTACACAGGATCCTAATGAGATAATTAATAATGTGAAATAGGAAGTAAAGGGCTAAAGGTGTAGGGAAAGTGGGAAGGGTGGGGGAAAGGTAATAAGGGAGAGGAAAAAAATCTGAGAAACTGAAAAAATGGAAATAAAGTGTTTGCAAATGGGGAGGGGAGGAGGGGGTGAAGGGAGGGCAGGGACAAGGGGAAAAAATGAGAATCAGGACCTGTTATGTAAAGGTACAGGATCCCAATGATGAATGTAACTGTATTGCATACCTAGATTGTACCAATAAACTCAATAAAAAGAAAAACAAAGTTATTAAAAAAAAATGACATGGAAGGAAAAAGAGTAGAATGAAACCCTCACATCCACAAATCCATAGAGGTTATCAACCCTTTCCCAAGTTAGGACTAAATGGGTTTGAAGTCTGCCCAAAAAATCAAAATGAAAGTCAAACACCATTTTCTTCACTCTTTTAAAAATAAGGACAATTTAAGCAAAACTTGCAACTCCTGAACCCAGCTGGGGATTAAATATGGAGCATTCAGGAGAGAGGAGCAGACTCCTCAGTCAGACGGGGCAGCCTCCTGTGGGGTGCAGAGGCAGGCATGGCTTTCAGAGACTGCAGGTTTCCAGTCCAGTCCAGACAGGGCATCTGCTTGCGTGCCACCACTTCTGCTTCACTTCCAGGAGGACCAAGGGGGAAAGCAGCCCATCACGAGCCAGTTATCTGCCACCGTCCTCGAGGGTAGGCAGCCAAATCCTATTTTGAAACCCCAATGTGGTGGCAGTTCCTGAGGGTGCAGCTACTCAGCAGGCCTGCTTCACGGCTCAGGGGAACAGGCTAACACTCTGGCCTGGTCATCTTTCACTACCTCCTAGGTTGGAACAGGTGATGAAGAGGAGTCAGAGACATTCATGAAAACAAGCTGGTGGTCAGTGATGACAGGACCTGGCAGGTGCAAATCTAACCCTCAGCCTGCAAGAGGGGAGAACCTAGGACCTGCTCCTCTAAAAAACTCCGTTTTGGCAAATGCTGTCCACTTGCCATTCTAGGCACTGAATAGTTTATGAGGGAAAGAGAACAGGTAGGGACATTTCAGCCAGGCTGAAAGCCAGGTTTATATTCAGTTGAGAAACCTCCACAAAGGCAAGTCAAATTTCCAGGAAACCTGGCTCTGGTACTTTCTAACAGGCAAGTAAATACCTAATGTAGAAGGTGAGGATATATTAGGGAAGCTAGAATGAGAAGCTTTTAGTGCAAAAGTGATGCTTGGAATGATGCACAAAGGCACTCAATTATACACTACTTAACAAAAAAAAATTCTTTCCAGAAGCTTGGTCTGGGTAAGAAGCACAGGCTGACTTGTGGAAGTGCTGTACTATTCTGCCTCCCAAGAATGCCTGACCTTTTCATGGGAGCAGAGAAAGCCTGCTTGAGAGGCTCATGAGAGTCGCCTCAAGAGCCTCTGTCTCCAGGGCACTTCAATGCCTAGGCCTAG